GAGAGAGAGAGAGAGAGAGAGAGAGAGAGAGAGAGAGAGAGAGAGAGAGAGAGAGAGAGAGAGAGAGAGAGGGGCGCCAGCGATCTTTAGCAGAATAGGCAACAGTCCATTAGCCATCAGGGAAAGGGTGTACCGGCGTAAGGGGGGGGTTGCTCTGAAGTATCAGTTTTCTCAGGGCCACAAGGACTCTTTCGGCCGAATCCCTTTATTTGAAAATATATATAGACATTTTTGTGATTTTTGTGACGATATATATATAGATAGATATAGTCGAACAGAGCTGGAGGAGGCTGAACCCTCAACAGTCTGCAGAATCCGCTAACCTGATGATTACACTGAAAATGATAATCCACCTTAATTAACCCCGGCTGTTGCTCAGCATGACCCACTGCCCGACAACTGATACCCCTCTGAGGAGGTGGGGACCACCAACCATTATTTTCAAAATTTCTCGAGCGAATCGGACATGACATACGGGACTCTTCCCCCGAATAGAATGTACGGTCGTTATAGCGGTATTTGGGCTAACTTTTAGTCCAGATTCAGCGATAACGTTGATTTTTTTTTTCCTCTCTTTGTGATTCCTTTGGCGGTTTTTGATCTGTATCTTGATAATGGTCCTCGCTCCACCACTCACGAAATGCCCAAAATGAGAATGAATCTTAACCATTGTTTTTGTCTTTTGTGCATGTCGAGAGTAGTGGAGCGAGGCCCAATCTGTGATTCGTCACTGTGTCTATTTATATTCTCAATGTCTATATATGCATCATCTATGCCGTAGCCATTATCAATCTATTGCGACTGCCGCCGTCTGTCCTGAAGGGTGTCCAACATTTCCTCATTGTACACATCCCTATCACCCAGATATACGTTGTCCCTATTGTGCCCAAGGACGCTATCAGAACTGTATGATGCCGCACTGYGATGAACGTCCTGCCGTGTTTTTGACATGTGGACAACACGTCCTCTGTCAGGACTGTTTTGATGGGATGGTTCGTGCTAGCCGTCCTGCAGAATGCTGTGCTGGCGCTGCTCTCCTTGGGCATCCTTGTGAACATCCACATCATCCTCACCGTAGTTGTCCTATCTGCCGAGGTGGGGGCAGGTAAAGAAAAAAAGAAAAGACAAAGAGAAAAAAAGAAAAGACAAAGAGAAAAAAAGAAAAAAAGAAAAAAGAGAAAAAAAGAAAAAAAGAAAAAAGAAACGTTGATCTGTGGGATGTGTTATTTGCTTTGTGATAATTGGATTATCTTTCTTTCCCTATCTTTCTTTCCCTGTCAGGTTTGGTTATCTTTCTTTCCCTGTCAGGTTTGGTTTCCTCCTCCCCTTCTTTACCTCTTTGCCTTTTGGCTGCGTGCAAGTGGGTCCTTGTGACACACGGGGATGGGGGCAGCCAGCGCTCAACCTGTCATCCACGTGGCTGGCCTTGTACGTAAGAGGTTATGAACAGGTGGAGCTTTCCTTCCCTCTTCCCCCTCCCCCTTTTTTCCTTTTCCTTTTTTCTTTCCCTTTTTTTGCGCTCTGATTCACAATGTGACATTATATATATATATATATTTTGATGCTGAACGTTAACGGGGGTTGAGGTGGGTTATTATTATCACGTAAGAGCAGTATCACTGTCTGTTAGGGGACTCTGCAGTCTGTCAGAGGGGTTAATTTTCTGGCTGACGAGTCAGTCGGGGAAACTCCCACAAAACAGTCCGTCACAGTCACTCGCCCGTTTCTTGTCCTTTTCTGCGCTTTCCGCCGCCGGTTCATTCGACATATATATCGTCGTACGGTTTTTGACGATATATAATATTTGTAATTCTGTATATTTGTTTTGTGATTTTGTATATATCATCATCGGATTGAGCTTGCTGAGGAGCGTATATATCGTCACAAATATCAGAGCGCAAAAGCTAAAACAGAGGAAAACAAAAAAGATATCAATTCATTTTCTAATCTTATCGTTATTTTTTCATATGTGATCCTTTTTATGTTATATACATGTATCTATAGATGAGTCGGTGGAACTCTGACGAAACGAAACAGTTCGCCACAGCCCCTCGTTTCTTGTCCTCTTCTTCTCCTTTTCTCCCTCTCTGCTTACGGTCGTGAGTTGTGTACGTAAGAGGTGATGTGATGAACAGGCGGAGCTTTCCTTCTTTCCTTTTTTTGTTTTGTTTTTTTCGCCTTTGGGCTCCTCCGATACACGGTGTGATGACGATATATATCTGTGGATATGGTAGAACTTACTTGTTTTGGTAATCTCGTCTGGATCCCGGTTGGTTTGGTCCCGTTGTTGTTCGGTCTATTTTTAGGCGAGAGCGTAGCGTAGCGGTGCTTTCATGTGGGACCAGTCATCCGGGTTCTCTTTTATTGTATTGGCATCCTACCTTCTTCCCCCGAATACAACGTACGGTCATTGTAGCTGTATTAGGGGTATGTTTCAGTCTAAATACAGCTATAATGACCGTACGTTGTATTCGGGGGAAGAAAGTAGTCGGTTGCTTCCCGTTGTTCGGCCTGTGTGTGAGGGGGGCAAGGCGGTGCTTTTAGGTGGGAATCGTCATCTGGGATTGTCTTTTATGTTTTTTGTCCCAGTTAGAACGGTTTACAAATGGGAATAATACCCACGTCTTGATGACGAACAAGGCCATCTGCTGTATATATATAGATATGTAATCTGGGATTTTTTTTTTTCTTGTTTTGCAGACAAGAGTTTTGTCCTGGGTGGTCTTGTCCTGTCGTTTGGCCTGTGAAGGAGGGAGGGGCGGTGCTTGGATGTGGGACCTGTCATCTAGGATCCGTTTTCTGTTTTGTTGTATTTGGCTGTTCCCTTCCACTTTTCTTTGCCTCTTTGCCCTTTGGCTGTGTGCAAGTGGGTCGATATGACACACGGAGGGGGGGGCAGCCGCCGCTCCACCTACATCCACGTGGGCGGCCTTGTACGCAAGAGGTTCTGAACAGGGGGAGTTGTAAGAAAGAAGATAAAAAAACGAATTATTTTTTTCTTGTTTTCTGCTGTTTTCTTCGCCTTTGCGCTCTGATATTCATGTGACGATATATATATAGCTCTGATACTCATGTGACGATATATATAGCTCTGTTTGACGATATATATATTGCATATAAACTCTGTGTTTGACGATGTACATATAAACTGTGTACGAGTTCAGTTTCGTTATGAGTCGGTAAACTACGACGAAACAGTCCGTCACAGGGCACGACTTTCAAAGTGTTTATACGATATATATATTTATTTACAGTGTGACAATATATATATATATTTATTTACATTTTTTTGTATTTCTATAATATATGTGTATTCCCCTACACCTGTATATCCTTTGCCAGGAGATAATTTTTTTTTTTTGCGCTTCCGATGCCAGCCAGCCAGCCAGCGGGATTACTTTGCGCCTATCTTGGAATTGACGAAGGATTGCGTTCCCCTCTTTCCGCCGCCGCTCTTTCCGCCGCTCTTTCCGCCGCTCTTTCCGCCGCTCTTTCCGCTGCTCTTTCCGCTGCTCTTTCCGCTGCTCTTTCCGCCCCCTCTTTCCGCCCCTTCTTTCCGCCCCTCTTTCAGCTTCTCTTTCTTCCTCTCCTCCCCCTCCCCCCCCCACATGGGGAAAGGAAAAAACCCTCTGTTCCACTACGTGGAAAGACAATTATTAATTGTAAATTATTAATTATTATTTATTTATATGTACTACAAGATCATGGAATAATTGCTGATGACGGTATAGAAGGTGAAATCATCTTTTTTGTTAAATGTTTTAACTGCCCTCGACAATTTTGTCATTTTTAGAGTTTTGTTTTTCCGCTTTTTTTTGGTGGTCGTCTCCAACCATCGTCTTCGTCAACCGCAGTCGTTTCGATGAAATCACGTTCCGGAGTTCTTCATGGCGGGAACTCCTTTTTTTGATTGCGGAAATTTGGCGGGAATTCCTTTTTTGATGGCGGGAATTCCGTTTTTGGATTGCGGAAATTTGGCGGGAATTCCTTTTTTGATGTCGGGAACGTAACATGAATGGTGGAAATTTAGTGTTTACGTTGATGGAGGGAATGAAAGTGGATGGCGGGAATTATACTTATTTTATATGTGTGTGGCCTCTGTGTTTCGGGAATGACAATCATTATGGTGAAGAAAGAAGGGCAAAATAGTTGATCGAGTCCTATAATGATGATGATGATTATTATTATTATTACTAGTATTATTATTATTATTATTACTATTATAATTATTATTACCATTATTATTATTATTTTGAATTCTTCACCATGGTGGTCAATCAACCGCGGTGGTCATCACCCGTGGACAAGAGTGTCGTCAAAATCACGGTCT